GATGTGTGCACTGGGTGGCTGCCCCTGCCTTGTCACAGGGAGAAGGACTCCACCTCTTTGGGGTGAGCACTTGGTGGACCCGAAATAAATAACCTTTGCAAATTCTTAAGAGGTCAATGAGGGACTGGTAGAATGGAAAACATAAAAAGAAACCAGAGAGATAGGAGTTAGGAAGAAAGAGATGGAGGAAACAGAAGTGGCAGGATGAGTAAGGGAGAAGGAAGAATTCAGAGCTTCTCCACAGACGAGGAAAATCTTTGAGTTATCAAAGTCACTGAGATCAGAAAAGAGCACCTACAAAGAATTCAACTCTTCTGACCACCACGTCCCAAAGAACTCGGGCTCTCCTATTCTGGAAACACAAGTGATATGCACCAAGTTTCAAGAAATAAAAATGAGAAAGAACGGAGGCCCCAGTCCTGTGTCCTCTGTTTTGTACCTGCCCGCCTGAGAATAGGGCTGGGTCTTTCCAGTTGTAAATTCAGGGACAAACACAAAACCATCATGTGTAAGACAGGGAAGAGCAATATATGAAAAGAGAAAAGGGAAACGAGATTGTCTCCTCGTGCAAATTCCCTGGCTGAGGTCACCAGGCGTGCAAAGCTGGGCTGTCTGGTCTGCAAAGATGTTTGATTTCTGAGACCTCCTCCTTATCTTCCTCCTTTTTTTTTCTCCCTGGGTTTCCTATACTCAAGGAGCCGGGAACTCAGTCTCGCATTGGGTTGCCCATGCATTGACTCATATACTTGCTCATGCCAGCAGTTCCGGTATCAGCGCGGGGAGAAATAGGCACCTCTGCTTTCCAGTTAGCAAAGTGCTGCTCTCCTCCAGCCAGGGCTGAGCCTCACCGTAGCTGCAGCTGTCTCGAGCATAGTTTTTTTTTTCTTCCCTGTATTTTTCTTTTAAGCTCTGCCCCCGTGGTTTCAAAAAATTCATTTCACCCAGAATGGGATAAAACATGCCTCGCTGTAGCGAGAAATTCTGGAAATTCCCAGCGCCACCCAGGTTGGCGCATAGGATTTGACCAAAGAGGATTTAGCCAGTAATTGCACCCTCCAAGCTGGACTTTATGCATATCTGTCCTTCTGCGACTGAAACACAAATACTATTTATTTTCTTTATTTATAATCTTCTTTCTCCTAAAAAAAGTTTCTTGAGATTTCTGTAAATGATTGAGCTTGAAAGAATTACAGAAGGGCGAGTACAAGCTAAATTTCCTATCCAAATCTGAATATGTGGGACTCAGAGCACAGGAAAGCATGGGGGATCCCCAGCCCATCTTGGGAAACCCCAGAAGGTAACCCCTAGGAATCACCCAACTAGAGATGGGTGTGCTGTGGGATACCGGGTTCCCCTCAGGTACCCATGTTCCCTCCCTCCCTGCTCCCTCCCTGTTATTAGGTGTATTAGCTTTTGTTTCTGTTTTTAACACGTTTATTAACTGCCAGGAAGTACTGAGCCAGAAAAAATATGAGGCATCCAGGAGAGGCACCTGGGGACCCTGGTTTCCTAGGGAACTTAGCCAAGACAGCTTCCAGCCAAAGTTCTCCGTGTCCAGTCATGGTCAGGAGTTCAGGGCCGCTTGCTCAGTCCACCCCCAGAAAACCGCGGGCATCAAGGTTGGCCCGGGAAGATGGCAGGCCCTTTTGCCTTTTGAGTCCTGTGGTCCTAGTGGGAATGGCCGGCATACAAATAATAGCTGGCAAAGCTGGACCAGACCTCTGTGCACTGAGCTACAAGAAAACACAAAGTAGTAAGCTCCATGTCTGAGGGGAAGGGTTGGGAACTTGTATACCCGTGTGTGTTTGGGGGGAGGAAGAGCGCTTCACACCCCCAGCACCAATTTTTACTTTGGGTTGAGAGATGTCTCCTACTTCTCTTTGGAGATTGATTCCCCCCACTACTGCCCACACTAGCTCACACCTGGGTGCGCCTGATGCAGCTCCCCAAAGGCTCCACAGAGGTGGCATTAATATACCGCTCCAATTTTCGAAGGTTTATTTCACGTCAAAACTGTAAAAGTTCTGGGGAGAATTTACAGAGAAAACATCTGGTTCGTTCAAACAAAGCTACCAGAGAAAGAAACAAACTTCGCTGCTGTGTAAATGCACTTTTAGCAAACAATTTATCGCTTGGCGAGGGCCTGCCCCCAGGGTCCAAGTCCTTTGCGCTTTGTCAGGAGCTGAGGTCCGCGGCCCAGTTACTGGCTAAGCGACGCAGGTGGTGGCAGTCAGCTTCTCTGCACCCAGGGCTCTTCCAATCCTGCCTAGCCCAGACTGTGGTGAGAGGAACGTGGAAGGGGGGCAGACCTGAGCGCCAGCGTTCCTTGCAGACACAAGCAGAACACTTGGCACTCCCCAAAGGACCGCTGCCAGGGCAGATGTCCTCATACCTTTAAGTGGGGTGCAGGCTCCCAGAATGTTCTGCCTGGCACGCCCTTTCCCTATAGGTGGCCTGTGCCTCTCTGAGGCCACAGAGAAAACTCTCTGAGGTCTGGGCTTAGGCCCCTGGGTTCAAGTCTACCCTGGCTACCCATCTGGGACCCGCAGCTTCAAGGACGCCTTTCCTTAAGTCTTTTCCTTCAGTGACCGTCCCAAATAAGGCCACACCTCAGCCTCGCTCTGATCAGCTGGGCTGTCATCCACTGCCCTCAATCACACTTTGAACACAACCTCGGCTGCCTCCAGGCGGTGGCCGGACTGCTCCTTCCCTGACATGTCCTGTCTGACTTCTGTGCCCGACGTGTTGCGGGCCAGCTCCCTGCCTCCAGCACACTGCTCTGATTCACGCCTCGTTTGAATTTTTTTTTTCTAACTCGCTGTGGTGAGGCTCAGGTTAGCAAAGCTCAGGGATGCTCCCGGGGTGAGACAGACGCACATAGGTAGGCCCAAGGAGTGGGGCCTAGGGCAACTTGAGTTCGTAAGGCTGGGGTCAGACTTCTAACCCCTGAAGAAGCGGCACTGGGGAGCATTTATGCAATAGACTTAGCCCCCACCTCAGAGGAGGAGCTGGGTTCCACTGGGCCCAAGGCGCAATCTTGGGGGCCAGTCAGGAGTTATTTTCATGGTCCCTGGGAATTTTCTGGGCTCAGAAACGTTACCACCCAGCCGTGGGAGAGCCACCTGGCCATAGTGGGAGCTGCCAATTTCCCCTATAGGCATATCGTTGTGTTGCTCCACTGCCCCTCAGCCCACCTTCACTTTTAATTTTAGTAGTTTGAAGAATTTCCAGTAACGAGGCACCTTCCAGAGGTTGGGAGTATCTAACTGGCTTAGGAGTTTACTTTTTGCCTGACTCACTCGCCGAAGTTACTAAGAGCTCGTATCGGCAGAAGCCTGTTGTTGCTTTTTAAAGGTATCTGCAACAGTTCAAAGTGGGGTAAAAAAGATTTCTACACAGCATGTCTTCTACAGAATTCTAGCTCCTGCGCGGGGTGCGGGCTTTTTTGCCCTCTAGTCTAGCGTAAAAACAGTTCGGCCGCTCCCTGGAGCGCGGTCCCTCCTTCCCGTAGGAAGGCGCCCCAGCGAGCGCCGCGCGGCGGTGTCTGGCCTCTTCCGGACCCGCGCAGACCTTCGGCGCTCGCCGGCAGAGCAGTTCCTGTGTCCCTTCTAACTCGCGAATCGCGGAACTAAGAAACGCACAGGTTTTGTTTAGTCGACTCGGAGCTGCAGAACTCACTACGCACCCGGACAGAAATTTTTGCAGTAGAAATAAAGTCAGGTAAAGTGCCGGGTACAGCCGCCCCGCAGATGTCGGAAGAGTAGGTCCTCCGTACGCCCTGCCCCTCAAGTTCTTTGAGGGAGGACACGGAGGGCCTTTTGACCCAGCCAGACTGATCAAGGACAAATGTGAAGATGTTGGTCTTCTACACAGTGTCCGGCGTGGTCCAGGTGGTGAGGGTCGACGAGGTGTGGGGGGCAAAGCAAGAAGCAAAAGCGGGGAAACATGCAACCACAGCCTAGGTCAGCGCTGAGAATGTCCCCCAGGAACTCCCCGCAAAACTCTGACTCCCCAAACATATAGCCCGGTCCCTTTTCCCTCTGTAAGTAACAGAATTACAAACTGCCACCCAGACACCATTTCTCCTAAAACTGAGCCCCTAGTTTTCACTGGATCCGCGTTTTCTTCTCCCCTCTTGCTCCTCACTGTAATCGTGTGTCACGCAGCAGCCAGGCGGGGCCTGGCAAAGTTTTAGCTTGAGCCATTCCGGCTAAGATTTGCTTGGAGACCTGGAGAGCCCCAGACTCGGCCCTGCTAAAGCGGGTTTAAGCCCCAATATTCAGGTAACTTCTGGGTTTATAGTGTGCTTAGTGCGGGTTTGGGAAGCTTCCTTTTCGTCTCTCCTGCGACACACCCAGTCCACAGAAAAGGGTTAAGAGAACTTGGTGGAATGCGAGGGTGAGGTTGACATTGTCTCTTTCCATCTGTTCCATCCCTAGAATGGCCTGCTAAATTAGTCACTTTTTGAAGTCCTGATATTAAAGAGGTTGCGTGTGGCTTAAGAACACCGTAGAGATGGAAGTTCAAGACTGTGCCAAGCCTGGCCGGAATATGGTTTGTGTTCGGGCAACGCGGCACACTCGCTGTAAGCACTCCGCATAGCCCGTGTTGTGAGTGACGAGCTGTCGCTGCGATGTGCAGCTCATGGACACTGATGGATGCGTCAATGGTTGGACGGACAGATGTTAGGGCGGATTGCAGAGCGCGCGGCGCCTAAGCAGGGGAGGGCGAGGCAGATACCGCGCTGTGGCTGCGGGCAGCGCGGAGACCGAAGCTCAGGCTACCGCCGGCAGGGGGAGGAGGCAGAGGGAACTGCGGTTTGGAGAGCAGCGCAGGGAAGGAAAGGAGGAGGGAGAAGCACGAGCCAGGGCGAAACTCTCAGCCATCAGTGCGCGGCACCCAGCGCTGTGCATCCGCCACAACCGGCGCGCCTAAGTGGGCGCTCAGAACCGGGAGGGTGAGCCGGGGTTGGGCAGAAGCTGACCTTGCGCGGCGCCTACCTTCCTCCAGGGATGAGGGCCCGGCGCTGCGACTAGAATCGTGAGGCCACGGGCGGCGTCTGCCAACTCACCGTTTCCTCGTTCGCAAGAAGCGTTTCATGCCCCACGGCTGCGTCTCCCTGGCCTGGAGGGGCAGTAGTAGCTCCGGCCTCTGCGGCCGCAGACACCAACTGCACGCTGCGCCCCCGCTCCCGCCCCCGAGTTGCCATACACGGCCAGTCCTGGAGCCCAGCTGCAGCCAGACTCCGAATCCCCGCGACCGCCCGGGGTCTGCACCCCGCAACTCAGTGCGCTCCTGCGCGCGCAAAGGCGCTGGAGGAGGCTTTATAGCCCGGGAGGATGGCGGCGGCACATCTGCATTCAGGGAGGCGTCTGGATCGAGCCCAAGCCCGCAGGCTGGGGAAGAGCAGAGACTTTTGATCTTACCGTCAGGGTGAGATCACGGTCTCCTTTCTAAAAGAAAAGAAAGCATGACTGTGAACTTTTAAAACAAACTTGCAAAAACAATCACAAAGAAAAAAATAAAGAGGAGGCCAAAAGAAGACAGAGAAGCTAAAAAAGAAACATAGAGGGGGGAAGGGCGGGGGGAGAAAGAAACGAAGGAAGAAGAAGGCCGGGGTTTGCAGCTCCGGGAACATTAAGCAGCCAGTCCCAGGGCGCGGGGCTCCGGCCCTCGCCAGGGCTATGGACGCGGGGCCCAGAGGAGACCCTGAGCCCTAGCAGACACTCCCAGGAGAAGCGCTGCCTTGGGGATCGTGGGCCTGGAGGCCGCCCCCATACTCCCACCACCGCAGCCCGGCAGCGCCTGGAGCCAGCCCCGCCGCGGCCGCCCCATTCCCGGCCCGAGAGCTGGCCCAGGGAGACGCAATCGAGCCCGCAGCGCATCGATACGCCGCCGCCCGCGCTGCTCCGGCTCCGGCTCCCGCTCGGCCGTGGCCACCCGGGGGTCGTCCCGATGAGCTCCAGCTCACCCGCGCCCTCGCGGCCGCTAGTAAGTGAGCCCGCGTTGTCCCACCGCCCACGCAGCCCAGCCAGCTCCTCCTCTTCGCGGCCCGCCCGTCCGGCTCGCCCGGCGCATCTGCGACCCCAATCACCCAATCAATAATCAATTCTTTTAGCTCAGTAGTGCCAGTAGGCCGGGCTCAGGGCGCGGCGGCCTCTCTCGGGGGCGCCCCGGGGCGGGGGATGGGTTTGGGAGCCCGAGTTTCTGCCTCCGCCCCCGTCCCGCCCTCAGATCCTCGGGCGCTCAGGGTGGGGGGCGCGGCCCAGCGCCTAGGGGGCGAGGGGCGGGGTGGAGGGACCGAGATCTTCCCTGTCAGGAGCGGAAACTTGCAGGCACCCCCTCCCAACGGACCCCCGGGACAGGCCCAGGAAAGTTTGCCCGGGAAAAAAATTGAGGGAAGTGGCGACGGCGGGTCCCGGGGGAGGAGCCGGGGCGGCACGGGGTCTGAGATCAGCCCCCACCTACTTCGGCCCGCGCCTGCCTCCTCCCTCGAGGGCGCCGGCGCCCGCCCGCGGGCTCTGGCAGCCTCGGGGGGCGCGGGCCCAGGTCCGGGGACCGAGCTGTGGGCTTTGGACTCGGCGGGCGGAGAGGAGTGCAGCTCGGGCGGGGCAGCTGGGGGCTGCCAGGGGGCGAGGCCGGGTGGGGAAGCGGGTGGGCGGGGGCGGCGAGCGCCCCGGGACGGGCTCGGCCGGGCCGGCGCCGCGCCCCTGCGTGCGCACACTGGGCGGAGGCAGAGGGGCGGCACCCCCTCCCCGGACCGAGTGGGGGTCCTAGACAGGCCGCGGGCGGGGAGCGGGGGCGCGGCGCCCTCGCGGGCAGGAGAGTGACACGATCATCTCCTTTTCCTTTAAGCTTGCCTGTTGCCGACGCCGCCGCTCCAGCCGCGCCTCGGGCAGAAGACTGGACCGCTGAGCCCCGGGCCGCGGCGGCGGCCGAGAGCCCCACGGATGCCGTGACCCCCTGCCCGGGGGCGGGGGACGGGGCCAGACCGGCCGGGGCCGCTCCCGCGCCCCTCCTCCCACCTCTCTGCCCTCCTCCTTCCCCTCTCCCCGCCCCCCGGCCCCGAACCCCGCGCACCTCGTCTGGGGACGGGGCGGGGGGGGGCAGGGCCGCCGTTGCTCCCCGCCCCCTCCTCCTCGGGCCTCGGGAGCGATTTGTCAAACTTCCCATTCCGCCGGCAGCGCGATCCTCTCCTCCTCCTCCTCCTTCCCCACCTCCTCCTCCCCCCGCGCTCCTCCCTCCCCGCGCCTCCCTTGCCCGCCCTCCTCCTTCCCTCCGCACGTTCGGGGATCGCGGCGGAGCGCGGAGAGGGGGGACGCGGAGAGCCGGCGCGCAGCAGCATCCTGCGGGCGGCCGCTCTCCGGGGGGGAGGCTGAGAGCCGGCCCGCCTCACCCCCCGCGCGCCCGCCGCCCCTCCCTCCCTCTCCTCAGCCCGGCGGCGGCGGCGGCGGCGGCGGCGGCAGCAGTCGCCGGAGGAGCATCATGCCGAGGAGGAAGCAGCAGGCGCCCCGGCGCGCAGCAGGTACGGGCGGCTTTCCCTTCCTCCTCGCCTCCCTCTCTTCTTCCTCTGCTTCCCGCGCGTCTCCAGCCGGCGGCGACCCCGCTCCCAGCCCCGCTCCTCTCCTTTCCCCCTCTGCCGGCGCAGAGTAACTCCGGGGTTCCGGGCTCGCCCGCCGCTCTCCTCTCCGGGTGCGTGCGCCCGCCTCGCGTGCCAGCGTCCTCCGGACGCCCCGCCGCTCTCTGCCCTGTCCTCGTGCGCACCCACTTCGCGAGCAGCGAGCCGGGCTGGGTGCCTGCCTCCTCCCCTCTCCGCTCTCAGTGGGCTGCGGAGGGGATGGGAAGGAGCCCTCTTCTGTCTCTTTATGCGGGGGGCGGGCGGGGTCACCAGAGTTCCCTGGGACACCTTCCGTGTCCTCCCGCGGCCGGCCGGCGGGGGACTGCCCGGTGTCTGCTAAGCGAAAGAGAGCCAGCGAGTGAGCGAGCGGGTCCCTTCGGCCACCTTACTGCTAATCCTATTGATTCTTCATTTATTGGGCCCAAACCCGGCACAGCGGTGGAAACCAGAGCGCACAGGGTCCGGGGATTGTCAGATAACTGTCAAGTCAATGTTAGTTGATGGCGTTGCCTTCACCTCTGTTTGTTTTCCCTTACCGGCACCCCTCCTTGCACCGCTTCTCCCACCCTAATCTCCTCGTAGCACTTAGTTCTGGGACATGTCTGTACTTTTTTCCCCCTCTTTCGCCAGGAGTGTCAACTCCTGTTAAGACTGAGCCGATTTTTTTTTCTTTTCTTTTCTGGAAAAAGCATCATTGAAAACAAAACAGAACCCACACACTTAACATTATTTTGCAATAATGTCAGTTGGGGGCATGTTGTCTGGAAGAAGGGTTTCTGGCCCTTTGCCACCCTTCATTTGATGACTGATTGATCGCCCGTCAAGCTGCTGCCTTTGATCTATTCATTCCCAATAAACATCAATAAATCACTCGCAATGGTGAGGCCAAGCTCTGTGACGTCACTAGGCCCTGTCAGTGCAACTTCGGGGATTTGGGGCAGATTGCAGAGAGGACCACATATGGACGGGATGTATTTTTATATGAGTAACACTGAGATGTGCAGCGGTTCAGATGCTGCCTGAACCAGAGGGTTAAGTGGAGGTTCATCTATCTGTTTTTCTCTTCTTTTCTGTTCTGTGCTTTTCCTGTGGTGGAAGAAGGGAGGGCAGAGAGAAGGCTCTGGGCATTGCCTGATGCCCTTCTTGGGTGAAAGCTTGTACCCTTGCTGCCCCTGACTGTGTGTAGTCACAGTGGGGGGTGAGGCTGATGGTCATTTCCATCATGTCAGCAGCACTGTGTGGAACTCACACACACTGGCTGCACTCTGAACTTGAGTATCCTTACACAGGGTCACAGAGAGGGGTGGCTGTGCTTTCTCCTCCCAGAATCATACTTTCCTGTTAGTATCTTAAGAAAATCTTAGAAGAAAACAGACTTAATTTGGGGCATATAATGCAGATTTTGCTCTCTATCCTCAGTGTTGCCCAAATTTAGAAAGTTTGAAAATCCCAGTAGTGGTTGTAGGCAGGGTGCTGCCTTCCAAGTCACCTCCTGGCTGATGCTTCTTACCCATCCCACCTTCTACTTTAAATTCCAAGTTCAAGCAATGAGCTTATCTACCCAAAATAAACTAAAAGTTTGGAGGACTCCTTCACAAAGTCGGGCAGTAGGAGTGTCTTGGGCTTCTTCCAGTCTCTGAAATTTTTTCTTTCCTTTTTGGATACACACTTTAAGGTATCTGTATGCCTCAATCAAATGAACCATATGTGATTACATCTTTACATTTGGTTTAGAACTCTCTCTACGGTTGTTTCATCTTTTCTTTTCCACTTTGCCAATCTGAGACTCTTATTTGATAGGTTTCTGCTAAAAATATTAGAGAAGGAGGCAATACACCATTGGTTTTATTTGTTTGTTTAAGCGACCTGTTCACTAACCTTTTTGCACCTTTTAAAAAGCCAGCCAGGAAATCTCAGGTCAGTTAAGAAATACTCATTATATAAAAACTTGACTGCACAACTAATAGCAGATGGAAGAATGGTTTTGCTCTATCAAAATGACCCGTCAAAACGACTTTGTTTCATATTTGATTTAATTGTCTCTCTCCTGACAGGCACATTCATCAATAGCTTAATGGTCAATCAGAAGTTGGCAGCGTGAGTGCTTTCTTTTTTTCCCATACCCTGGTTTTGGATTTACTTTATCAGAATGCCTCTGCCTAATGGACGTGTGGAGGAGGGGATGGGAATGTCTGAAGGGCTACTTATTTAAGAAGAGTGGAGGAATTAATAAAAAAATCCCTCCTCATTTAGGCTGGTGATAAGTATGTACAGGCCAATCAGTGAGCTGTGTGAGGTTTTTTGCCTGTTTGTTTGGATGGACAAGAAACTTCCCTTTTTTTTTTCTCCTCTTTTAGTTCTCACAGCTGCAAGTTATAAGGTTCATTCCTGCTTTTGTGGCAGACTGGGAGTGATGACAAATTGATTGCTTTGTACTGATAGAGAGAGAGAGTGGGAAAAAGATGTCTGCTGATTGGTAACTGGAAATCCAGTCCCCAGCAACCTTGAGAATACTCGAGATTTTTTTTCCCCTCCAAACTGAAAGGTCCGCTCAGCCATAAAAAAAGAAAAGTTGTTTTGCCAGCTTCATTAGTGTTCACCTAATTAGCTGTAAACCTGATGGATTCCTGACAGCTTTAATGATTGGAGATGACAAGCTCGACGCAGTGTCATCCAGGAGAATTAGGTTTGCAGCTAGTTTGATGTAATCAAGTTGATATTACACAGTCCTGGCTGCCTTTAGTTGTGCATTAACTCAATTTTCTGCTGCAGGTGACAAATGGGCTTTGGTACCTGGATAATCATGTCATAGGAATTAGGGCCCTTTTAATGGTCTGGGGTAGAATAACAACCACAAAGGGTTGAGAGCTGGGTAGAGCTTGCAGACATAGCACACAGGTGCACACAGTTTTTATATATAGGCCAAATGTAACAATGCTCTCTGGAAGGCCAAAGCAGGGTACAAGAATCCATGAAAATTTCTGTACTTTAGGATTTCCTTTTTTTTTTTTTTGATAGAAATCATGCATGGTTTGGTGTCTTTTCTCAAAGGAATAGAGAGATTCCTTTACCTACCAAAGAGAACCTGAGCAGGAGTCTCCTTTCTTCAGGCGTGTAATTTCCAAGGGCTGTACATTAGTGCTGGATAGATGTTGCTGGCCGTAAATACTCACAGGAACAGGGTTAGATAGGACAGTGTCCTTCATGTAAAATGACCAGTCTCTTCCCCTGCTTATACTGTGACTATCTCCTGTTCTTAGTGTTTGTTTTTAAATGAGTATCTTTTGAAAATACCAGAAAAAGGAATAAGAGCAATACTCAGTGGCAGATAACATTTTATCCATTCATATTCATTTTTTGGAAGAAAATGTAAAATCATAAAAAGCCGTTTCCTAAAACTTCCAAAAATAGGAAAAGGAAAAGCCTCATCAAACAACTTGCCAAAGACCTTTTGAGTCTTATTCATTGAGAGAGAATCATCTTCCAAGGAGTTCTTAAGCGGTCGCATTGTGTGGGTAAACCTTCAAGCGTCTTGACTGTACAAGTGATTTGGACCTCTTAGGATCTGTTGGTGTAACAGATCGCTGCAGGTGCCCGGGGAATAGGATGAGATTTTAAGTGGCAAGGCGTGGGGGTTTTACATTGCCAGTAGACTTGGGCATGACTAAAAGATGACGCACCTGGTGTCCAGGTAACGCCATCCTAGCCTTCTTAAGGTTCTGTCACATATCTGGCCGCTCCAGAGAGGACCTTTTCTCTTCCCTTTTGGAAGTGCGTGGAACATTCAGGAGGGCATTTCACCATCAGCCTTGTGAATTTATTTGTTCTCAAACCTGCCACATACTATCTCCTTTGGACAGGTATTCTGCCCTTAGCAAGGTGACAGAATGACTGGTTTTGGCCGCTCTGTAATTCCCTCACCCTTTTCCTACAAAATGAGAGGAACAATGCAAATTTTAAAAAGGAAAATCAAGACATGTAGAAAAACAAAGAGGGTAGGAGGCAAGGATATTCCCCTGGACATCCACACAGGGAAGAGAATCTTCCAGAATCAGCTGCTGTGCCCCCATTATCTTGACAACTGTCAGTTAGGGCTTCAGTGCTCTCCAGGGCCACACTTGATTGTAAGCGGTTGATGTTGTCATTTTGTTCTCAGTTTTGCCTTGAGCGTGCTCATAGCTCATAAGCAGGAGCGAGATAGTCAATAACTGATGTATCAGCAGTTACTCCCTAAATTGCCTCACTAGTCTGCCTTTTCCCTCTTTTTACTAAAGATTGTTTTGTAAAGTGATTAGAATGAAAGGTGACTGCCCAGGGCCCTGTGAAATGCCGCGAAACCCAGGTGAATTCCCAGAATTAAAACCCTTCCTTTGCCCCTCTGCCCTTTACTTCTGGACTTTCTGGAAGGAGAAGGAACCCGTTCCTGAGGGCCAAGTGCTGGGACTGTCTCGGCGCTTCCCCTTCTCTGTGGCAGAGCCAGAGCCAGGCTGGGGCAAGGGCAGCTGTCAGAGGCAGGGATGCGGAAGGGAGAGGACGGGGAGACCTGGGCCTGGTGCACAACAGCCATGTTCAATCCAGTAACACAAGCAGGTCACAGTTACTCTGAGTGCAGTTTGTGAGGCTTTCCTTCTGGCCCATTTTTATTGCCGCCTGTCACTGGACAAACTGTAAAAATAGCTTTGGTCTTGTAGTAGAAAAAAAAATGTAGGGTATGTGTCTGTGCTTCTGTGCTTCTGTGTTACTGTGCAACCCAGTTAGATGGGCTTTCAAAGGCAGTTTGTAACACCCCTGCCCCACAGCCCTTGGAGGGAAACAAGGCAGAGCAGAACAGTTGTATCACTTACCCCAGACCCTCTCAGGTGTTCACTGTGTGTGTGTTTTAGTTATGCTCCAAATTGTGGTTTCTC